CGATTTTGTGAAGCTGATTCTGAGGCTGTGGCCTGTTTAAGACGCCTGTCTTATCCCACAGGACCACCTCCCCCCAGCTGTTAAGCTCATATGAGGTCACCCATGCAAAACACACAACTTCAACCATCTAGGTGATGGTGTCATGACCCAGATCAAGACAAGATACATTTCAAGATACAGTCCCACCATAATCCATTCATTCTCTCTCTCTCTCTCTTTCACACACACACACACACACACACACACACTCACACAGGTCTGTGTGTGCCCTCCCCGACTTGGCCAGGCTTGGCCAGGCAGCCAGGGCCATGTGTTTCCAGTTAACATAACAGAGCCCTGATGCCCACAAACATTCACTGCAAACCTGCCTGCCTGCTAACCTGTTCCAGCACCCCCTAAAGCTCCCCAGTTCTCCCTTCTCCTCTGTGCCTCAGGGTCAGGAACTTGTTCCGCGTAATGAAATCCAGCTGCCAGGTGCAGGCAGCCAGCACCTCCCCTCCCCGCAGCTGCTGAACCACGGGCCCATCCATACAGAACCAGGCTGGACACACCGTCCCCTTGGCTGCCCAGGAGGTGCTAGACACCCTCAATTCAACAGCACTGCCTCCCCAGCCAGCCTAAAGCACCGGGCAGCGGGAGGCGGGCTGGTTACACCCCTCAACTACTCTTCTGACTGGCATGTAATATTTTACCCCCCCATCCCCAGCACCCGGTGGACTTCAGAGTTCTTCCTAGTGACGAGAGTCTGGTCTCTGGCAGCAGAGACCTTTTAACCCACCTCGCCTTTCTGCAGTCCAGCCACTGCTTCCAGACAACCACCTGGATGACCACTGAGCTATCCCTGTAGTGCTGATTACTACCCCCACCATCAACTCGAAGGCAACTAGCAACAGCCGAGGCAGGCTCGGGGGCTCCTTTCTCCAGGACACACAGTTCTGTACTCTCAGACCACACCCTCACCACAGGCTTCTTTTATGCACTTTTGGGCTCTGATGTTAGCTGCCTATGTATTTGGAATTGTTACATCTTCTTGACGAATTGACCCCTTTATCATTATATAATGTCCTTCTTTGTCTCTTACAACAGATTTTGACTTTAAATCTATTTTGCCGATATGAACATAGCCACCCCAGAAGAAAGGTAGAGCTCAGAGGGCAATGTATAGCAGTAAGTGCCGACATTATAAAAGAAAGCGATCTCAAATCTAATTTCATAGCTTGAGGAGCTAGAAAAAGAAGAGCAAACAGCCTAAAGGTACCAGAAGGAAGGAAATAGCAAAGGTCAGAGTAGAAATCAGAAATTGGTTCTTGGAAAGATCAATAAAAATGAACCAATCTTTAGCTAGAATGACAAAGAGAAGCCAGAGAAGACGCAAAAATGATTCCTTCCACCTCAACTAAATCCCTGCTGCTGAATATCTTGGTTCTGTCCTCCACCCCCCAGGGCAACATAGCCCTGGTCAATCCTTGAGCCTGGTGAGCTGTCCTTTCTCACCTCCTCAGTTCCTCTCTCATCTAATTTTCACCCCCATCACACTCTTGTGACATCTACCACCAAGACCTCCCCCAGGTCTTCCCTTACCTGCCTAGGAGGGAGTGGGTGTCGGGATTCAGCAAAGTTGGGTTTGGATCCTGCTCACCACTTACTAGCTCTGTAACTTGAGTTTGTTATTAGACTCACTGTCATTGCCTCATCTGTAAATGGGGATAACAAGACAAGGAGCACAAAATGCTGGGTACAAAGGCTATGTGGGTAGCTTCCGGCTTCCTACCCAAAGAGAAGCCCTGAGGCCGGGCTGTGTCATGCACGGATTGTAAAGATGATGCCACCCACGGGTACAGTGCTTTCGCACCCACACTCCAACCAACAGGGCAGGTTCTCTTATCCTCATTTTATTGTGGGGTAAACTGAGGCTCAGCAACAGCCTGGCCCAGAGTAAGAGGTGGCACATTTGTTCACAATGTTAATGATTATTTTCAAGACCTAGGATGAGCAGGCTGGGCGTGGCATGCAAAGATGGGTATATGAAACCCAGCATAAGCGCAGATAATCACGGACCTGGTTCCCAATCCCAGCAAGGTTTAGTTTCTCTGTGCCTCAGTTGTCTCATCTGTAAAATGGGAACGATGCCCATGCCAAAACACTGTGACAATGAAATCACCTCACATCTAGTAATGTATACCAACTCTGCAAGGCCCAGGGAACGCGTACATCCCTGCAGTCTTCCTACGGTAGATCCAGGAAGTTTTATGTACTTTAGCTTCTTCCTAAGGTCTGTGGGCAGATCAGTTATTTCTCACTTATCAACCAACTGCCCAGAAGAACCACGTGTGTTCTCTGGACCTCATTCCTTAAATAACACCACTGGTATGTAACAACTTTAACACAAACCACAGACTCGTGGAACAATGCTAGAGCTGAATGGCATCATGGAGACGAATTGGCTCCTCATTTTAAATGTGAGGAAATCCTCCAAGATGAGTCACACAGGAGTTAATGACCTGCTGGGACCAGAACCTCAGCCTGGGCACCCAGCTCCACTTTTTCTCCGTGGCATAATTTGCTGTAACATGTTTCTGGGGGCTCTGTGCCAGGCCCAGTGCAGGGGCTGGATATGACTTTGGCTTTGAAATAACTTATCCTCTAGGCTGCTCTCATTGTGGGTAGGCTTGGCAAATATATTGAAAATAATTACACCACAAAGTGGAAGTACTATAATAGAAATCACTCATTACACTGAGTGAGTAGAATCGACACTAATTTAATTTTGTCACCACTGTCATTTCCACCTCGGAGGTAGGGTTTGCCAGAGGCTGTTGAGTTCCTCTGATTTGTCTGTAGCAGTGGTTCTTGAAGTCGGTCAGTGATGGGGTCCCCCCTCCCCAGGCGACATTTGAAAATATCAGGAGACACTTTTGGTTGTCACAACTGGGTGTCAGTATGTGCTCCTGGTATGACTGGGTAGAGGCCAGGGGTGCTGCTCAACATTCCACAATGCACAAGACACCACCACAACAAAGAACTATCCAGACCACAATGACTCTAGTGCCCAGACTGAGGAATCCTGGTCGACAGCATGCATTCTCAACAGGATCTTGGGGGGATGGGCAAAAAAAAAAAACCTTAGATATTATAATGGTTTGTGACGCTCCAAAGGGATGCAATACATAAACAGTTAAATAGTACATCCATGGCATTAAAATTGCATTGTGGGGGGCAGTGTCAGGGGAAAAAAAGCCTAAAATGCTCCTTGTTATTTTTGTTAGCTGCCACTGAGTGGGGCCTGACTCATGGTGATCCCCTGCACAACTCAACAAAATAGTGATTTTCAGAAGTGGATAACCAGGCCTTTTTCCCTAGTCTGTCTTAGTCTGGAAGCTCCACTGATGCCTTTTCAGCATTTCAGCAACACACAAAGCCTCCACTGACAGACAGCCATGCACTGACCACGTCTGTTCATGAGGTGCACTGGCCAGCAATGGAACTAAGGTCTCCCACTCGGAAGGTGAGAACCCTACCACTGAACCACTACTACCCTCAAAAGGCTCCTTCAAAAAAACTCACTGCCCTCAAGGTGGTTGTGACTCATAGCAACCCCTCGTAGGATTTTGGAGGTGGTACCTCTATTGAAGTAGATTGCCCAACCTTCCTTCCGAGGAGTGGCTGGTGGGTTTGAACCGCCAGCCTTCTGGTTAGCAGTCAAATGCCTTAGGCACTATGCCACCAGAGCTCCCAAAAGCCTCCTTGTTGTTGTTGTTGTTGTTATGTGCCATTGAGTCGGCCACGACTCATAGCGACCCCTCCTTGGGTTTCCGAGGCAGTATCATTACAGAAGTAGGATTGCCCAACCTTCCTTCCGAGGAGTGGCTGGTGGGTTTGAACTGCCAGCCTTCTGGTTAGCAGTCAAGTGCCTTAGGCACTATGCTACCAGAGCTCCTAAAAGCCTCCTTAGGGGGTGGTAATGAAAAAAAAGGAACCACTAGTCCACTGGGATCCTAAAGTGCAACTTGAGTCTTTCTTCCTCTCAATGCTTTAGCAGTCTGGGCACTGAGAGCAGGGCCAGTCCGCCACTCTCACAGCCCTTCAGCTCTCTCCCAGCCTCTCTGGACCCCTCAGTGTCCTCCTCAAGCAAACGAGAACTACTCTGGTCTCCTCCCATCACAGCTCCGTGAGTGGGAGAACTCAGGACCCAGGACCAGCCCTGTCACACAGACCTGCTCCTACACATCCCCAGTTTGGTCCCCATGGGGATGACTGTCCGCCACAGTCCAGGGGGGAAACAGGCTGGGCTGCTGAGTCCCAATGACGGGAGACCCAGGGTTTCACAGTCGCTGGTTTCCCTCCGAGGCTGAAACCACTCTCCCCTCTCACCCCTCTGTGTTACACTCCCAATGCCCACCCACAGGTTGTCCAGAAGGTACCCTACTACATCCTCCAAATCCGAGTGGGAGAAGTTCCTCAGGCTGGGCTCCACCTTCTATTTTTCCAAGCGCATACTAACATGAAGGTCCTTGCCTGATGTCTCCCGCCAGCACCTCGGAGGACATCGCTTACCTTGCCTTGCCTCAGCTTACAACCTAAAGGGGCTGGAATTTCAATTAAGAGGCTGCCGCTGGGGGTCGCTTCCCGATTGGAATCTCTCTAAACCTGCAGCAACCCCAGCCCGCCTCTCCGCAAAGCTCCCGGTTCCTCTCCAAGCGCGCACCTGGAAAGCGCGACTGCAGGAGAGGTTGGCCCAGGGCGACGAACTGCGCGGCGCGCGGGGGGCTACTCACGGGTGCCGGTCTCCGGCACTTGGCGCAGAAGTGAAACCTCTCCCCAGGAGGACCCGCTAGAGCCCGGCCGGGCCCCGCGCGGGCACTGGGGGCACTTGGCGGTCCCGCACACCTGGCATCGCTTTGGCGCCGCGCGGGGTTCGGAGACTCTCCCTCGGTGCCGGGGCAGACGGGCCTGCCTGCGCCCCTCTCACTCGGCCGAACGCTGCCCGCGTCCCGGCTCACCTCCGCCAGCCTCGCGGAGCTCCTGGGCCGGGGTCCGAGGCCCCGCGGCTTCCTCAGGGGCAGCCCGCGCCCGGCGGCCAGCAGCGCCGTCAGCAGCACCACGCCAAGGAGCAGCCCCGCTCGGCTGGGGAGCCGAGGCATCGTCTCCCTCCAGGCGCGGCTCTGTCGGGCGCCTCCGCGCCTCGCGCCTCGCTCGGGCGAGTCTACCCGCGCCTCCTCCGGGGGCCAGCAGC